AGATTTGAGGGGGAATTTGCATGGAAGGATATATGATTGTGTACATAGTCGGAATACTTACGGGGCAGACGGTGTCTGAGATGATCTGGATCTGGAAGTTCGTCATCGTATCAAAGATACCAGAAGGATATACGTGAGAGAGTTGAATTTGAGGATAGTGCTTTCATGGGGAGCTTTGTCGTTTTGATGTTGGGGACAGTCTCGATTTGTAAGCGTTACATTATGCAGATGCCGTAAATGGGAGCAGTTTTTTTTGTCTTTCATCTTTTGGCATCTCCAATCTTCCAAAAGGTCCATGGATGTTCTATACTTGAGATAATTACAAATCCCAAAGTGTCCCCAATGTTATTTCGAGGTACACGCGATTATCCAAATACATTAAAGCTCCATGTAAGTTTTCAGCACAAGTTCCTCGAGACTTGTGGGTCCAAAGGCCGTGGGGTTTGTTGACTACATATTCAAATAGAAAAAACAAAAGGTTCAAAATGACTATGACAGGATCTGCTGAGCCTGGTTCAAGTTGCCCCACGAACCTCCTGAGCTATCGGAGACAGCCGATGAGTTAAAGTGAACAGGCACACTAGGAAGTGAGTCATTGCGGCCTTGGTTAAGTGCCGATGAATACTGTTGACGAGTTAGCGAGCAGGCCAGGGTTGCAACGGGAAGATCTGGAAGTCTAACCTTGAAGACAAAGTTCAGAACCAAGGCAATGGCCAAACCAATACAAACTACGATAGGACCGAACATGTTGTCTAGATCTTTTCCACTCCGTTGGCGAATGAGGCGGGCCCGTCTCTCGTATATAAACCACCCCCAGACTGCGGCGAAGATGGCAAAGAATGTATAGACAACAGCCAGTGCTTGGGCGACCTGATTGTGCTTGCCAGCAGCATTGTAGAGGCCCAATGATAAACTCGACAGGAGAATACTAATGTGAAGCCATTTGATAAATGTTCGCTGATTGGCAAGGTAAACTTTACTTTCCACCCGAACGGGCCCAGCATCTTTGATCCAGACGCCGGGGTGTCGAACGCCAGGCGGCAAAGAGACAGATCCTGTTCCAAGCCAGCGTTGAGGAGATATCCCCAAAAATTGACAGATGGACTCGAGTCTAGTGGGTGGCTCAGGTTCTTCTGCAGGTTCGGGAGCGGTTTCAGTATCACGGCGTTGGGGTTCTGGGATTGAGGGACGTGGGTGCCGCGCTGCAGGTTCTGTGACTGTTGAGGTTCTCCGTACAGCCGAGGGAGAGCCGGTGGTAGAGTATTGATGGTAGGGTGATCCGACCTGTGGGCGGACACCTGGGCTGCGCGCGTCTCCCATGAAGCTGCCGACGGCTATATTTTCCTCGGCTCGTCGAGCCAGTCGCTCTTGCTCCTCATGGAATGCAGTTTCGGGATCACGGCGAATATCACTTTCAAGTTCACCAAGCCAGAAGGGGAAGCTGTTGACATAATCTTCAAATAGCGAGGCAACGCCATGGACGAACTTGGAGAATCGGGGAGCGTCCTTAACAAGGTGGGAGACCATTAGGTCCTTGACCCACTCTGTGTTATGGGCCTTGCCTCGAAGCTGGATCTCGAGCAAAGCGTGAGGAAAGCGGGTGATCTCTCCAGTCCTGACACCGCTGAAGGGATAAGTCATATCTGCATCATCCAAGTCGGTACGGTGCCACTCAGCTGGATCGCGACATGGGCGTTCACTGTCGAGGGAATCTTCCCGAATGAGCGCTAGGTTGGTATCGAGGGAAATACGGATTCGATCATTGCCAGGGATTTGGAAGGCGGTGCGCGTGTAGTTGGCGCGGAGCATGGGTTGCAGGTCATTGTCTTTGATGAAGGACTGCAGCTCATCCACATCCTTTTTCAAGGCTTCGGCAGCCGCCGACTCTCCGTTGTTTGAATCCTCCATGCGATGGAGCTTTTTATCGAAACGATACTCGCCGTCCAAAAATTCCTTAATGTGCTTGTCTTTGAGCTGTACCTTGACTTGCCGGCTTTCGTCGTCGTCTGTCACAATTTTCTTTTCCAAGTGGATAGGAGGTTTGTCTTTCAGTGACCCCGTCCAGCGCAGTCGCAAAGATCCGGCTTCGGGTGCTCGTGCAACTTTTTGATTGTAGAGATCAAATTGAGGGGAATCAAAATAGAGAGAAGTGATGGTGGGATCTTCAGTGAGGGTATCGAGGTCCTTGGAAGTTCCCGGCCTGTAGATAAGAACTGGCAATCGACGAAGGATGTAAGTCTTGACCTCCAAAACGTTGTCTGAGTGCACCCAGAATTTGTAAGATGAATAGGTCTCACGGCCAAATCCATGCTCTGTCTCTCTTGGTTGCACGATATCGTGGTCAAGGGTCTCTCGAACAAATGAGTACATCACCGAGAGCCGGTGGACCAACGGCGAATAGTCTTCTGAGTTGAATGGCAGTTGCGACAGTCGCACTTGGAGTAAAGGTTTCACCCGGTATCGGGCCCCTCGTTTGCGATCATGTTTTTTTGCAGCCTTAAGGAAGCCAGTGAAGTTGATTCGGCTGTACTTTTCCAAGGCACTGACTTCCTTGGTGATATTATCGAGTTCTTGTAGAACTTCTGAGGCTACAGTCCTTTTCGTCTGTTCATCGAGGGTCGGGGTTTCTTGCTCCGGGGTAGATGCCAAGGGTCGTAGTTTAACTTCACATGCTGTTGTCCGTTCTCGGAGTTGCTGTGATGTCTCTGCTTGGAAAGAATTTACCTTGTCGAGTTCCACATTCAGCAGTTCATGCACAAAGGCTTCCTCATCTTGTTCAGTCCATTGATCGTCATCGGAATCACTGGCGTCTTCTCCGTCCCGGGTGACATCATTCTCTCTCAGCAAGGTCTTGAGCTTAGTGTAGTCAATGTACTTCCCTTTCCAGGGAGGGTACACTGCAGCACGGAGGGTTTTTCCAAACCGCATTCTGCGCTAGTCCCGTTGTAAATGGCGTTGTGCAGTTGTTACTCAGATAGGGTGTGCAGGTCTGATTGGGGGTATTCGGATGGGAAAAATGGATGAGAGCCCTGGAGGATAGAGACAAATCGAGAGAAAAAGCAAAGTTTGATACTGAATCGATCGAAAAATATGAGATACCAAAGAAAAATAGCTCATTAGCTTGAAACTAAGCTGCAACTTCCGACTGAAAGCGTTCGACAGCCAGCGATAGACGCACGTGCTAGGTAGATTGGGCCAATCAGAGCCCCGTAGACCAGCTATCCGGATAATCTATGTTCCGATGACATGGTATGTTATTTTACCTGAGAATACCGGGGAGTATGGGCTAGACCGATACTCGGGATCAAGGAGACTCTCTGATACCGATATCCTCCACAATCCAATCTGTTGACATCTGATAGTACAAATTGTACGTATTAGATATTCAACTTGATGGAGAAGTCTGAACAAATCCCGGGCCTGTCCCATCATTTGCATGGCGTATTAGTCGACCTACATCGTCGACCTTATCCTTACGTCCCAAACCCCCCATCATGCAAAAAACGCGCCTCGGTTGCTTTGATTATTCGTGTACGACCAACTTACGACCATTGGCCCAATTCAAAGCCCATAAAAGATGCATCTCAGCCAGTCCAACAACGTTTAGATGAGTTCTTTTCACAGCCATGGGTCCAGCATGGCGAACCGGAGGTTCTATTCATCAAGCGTGCTTCACGCGTGGGGGATCGATGGACTGGCCATGTTGCCTTACCAGGCGGAAAGCGAGACCCGGAAGATGCAGATGACAAGTCTGCAGCTATCAGAGAAGCCTCAGAGGAAATCGGATTTGATTTAACAACGGATGACACCATTAGTGTGGGCAATCTCCCTGAGCGGGTGGTCGCTACCAGTTGGGGATCTGAACCGTACGAATGCCATTTACTTCCGTCGCTGAGAACTGTATTACTGACTTGAATGGCAGATTGATGATTCTTTGTCCTTTCGTCTTTCTCACGACTCGCAGCGACTCTCCGACCCTTCGATTGCAGCCCACGGAAGTAGCATCAACACATTGGATTCCCCTACGCGCCCTTCTATCACCATCGCTGCGGACAGTGGAATATGTGGATATGTCGCAGCGCTTCGGTCGACAAGGTGGGTTTCTGACCCGTCTTGCAGTTCGATCTCTGATGGGCTGGATGCAGTTCTCGGCTGTGAGGCTGCTCCCGTCGGAGAGCCTTCAATGCACCACCGGGTTTATTCCTGAAGAGAATATATCCCAAACTTCCCTGATTCAGCGTTTCAAAAATTGGTGTCTGAGTGGACAAGAAAATTCGAGTGACACTACCCGTCCGCTGCTCCTCTGGGGTCTCACCCTCGGCGTTCTGGCTGACTTCTTGGATATGCTCCCTCCCCACCAGGCCGTGCAGCTGTGGAAATATCCAACATTTACCGTGCCTGATCTGCGGTTGATTGTGAGCATTGTGACTTATAATCTGCGGAAGCGTAATGCGCTCAATGTGAGATCAGGTGCTCGTCCTAGTAACACGGCCTCTGATGGGGAAACAGCTGCACTCCCAGTCACACAGGAGACGGATTTTGAACATGATCACAATGAAGTGGGAATCGGTGGCCTCGGAGTGGGACGATATTATGGTCCCACAGACCAAGCAACAGATGGGACTTCTTATGCTGTTGGGATCATGCTCCGTGGGTATTATGATCGCTTGCGCATGGCAATATGGGTCTTCCTAGCCTGGCGTGTAGCAATTGGTTCAATTGCTGGTGTTTCAGCCTGGCGAATTCTTCGACGGCTGCGTTGAAGTGTACATTGGCAATATACATTTGCAAAAATGATGTAACAATCAAGATCTCCAGCTACAGCTTACATCGTACGATATCACGTGTTTATGGAGCCCAGAAATACAAATACCAAATTACATAAGAAACAGATCATTACGGTATTCAGATTAGAGAGCTCCCCACATCCTTTTTGGGGGGATAAACATTGAACATTGAACACAACCATCATCAACTTTGTCTCCTCTATTCTACTTGTCATGGCAGCTCAAAAGCTTTATCCACGAGGAACAGTCAAGCGCATTGTCAAAGCCCACTCCAATCGGAATATGAGCAAGAATGCCGACATCCTGGTACGCCATGTGCCCGATATCAACCCTTCCTGTTCTCCAGTCGCTAATTCCAATTAAAAGATATTCTTAGACTATATGCTATTCATGCAAGAGTGCGTCTTCATATATCCTTATGGTTTAGTCCACCGATCGCAACCCTCCGAATCGCGCTCTTACCACCGACGTGACTGAACTGGTGGGCTAACAGATTATAGGTTAATGCGTGAGGCATCTATTCGGTCTCGCAAGTCTGGAGAGAAGCATATCTCAGCTAATACTGTGCGCAAAGTTACCGAGGTGCGTCATTTGAGGTCGACCTAAGAGCTTGTCTGGAAGACTTATAAGAATGTACTGACAGGTATGAGTTCATCTAGAAAACACTGCGCAGATTCCAGGGATAGAAAAGCCTGCCACAGAATCCTGGTTTGTTATCATGGTCAAAAGCCGTTGAGTATGGATATGAAAGGTGAATGAATACTGTACTGAGATTGGCGTGCATTTTTGTGATATTATGGCGTTGTGGGCGAATGTGAATATGATACCCTGGAGCAATACAAGCGAAGAGATCAAATAACAAAATCAAATCGTAGATTGCACATGTATATCGACATGGATAATACTGTGATTTGCTTACCTCGCCCCTAAACACGTACCTGGGTAGAGTCTGCCCAAAGCCAGTGGGCCACACCGACCAAGAAAGGTGTTCCCGACCCGCGTATTGATTCTTCCTTCATAACACCCATCTTTTTCTTCAATTCTTCAACGTTATCACGTTTAATTCTTTCAGACCTGTACAAGCTTTTCGGAAGTACGTTAATATTTGTGTCACCCACATCCCCATCATGCCTCCCGCTTCCGCTACTCAGAAGCTCAAGGACGAGGAGAAGGGCAACTCCCGAGCTTCAAGCGTCTCCAAGGACCTGGAGAGTCCCAACTCTGACGGTCAAGAGAGTAGCTATTTGAAGGAACTGCAGAAGTATGTTCAAAATCTTCTGATCCTGGCTGTGTGATTATTGCCTATGCGCAGGTGAAAGTGAGCTAACTGTATTCCCCGTTTAGGACCCTCCGCAATGCCATGAAGAAGTTGGTGCGTCATTATCGAATCAATGTTCAATGGCATTTTCCATAAGTTTCTAACAGTTCTTTTTTTTTTGCCAGAACTCCCTCGCCAAAGTCGACGCCATCATCGCCGAAAACCCCGACAAGTCGCTTGATGAACTGATTGAAGAGAAGAAGATCAACAACGACCAGAAGGCCCAGGTTCTCAAGAAGCCTACCCTCCAAGCCACCGTTGCCCAGGCTGAGGAGCAGATTGGTCACTACAAGCAATTCGCTGTTCAATACGAGGATCGCCTGGCTGCTCAGAAGGCCGCACTTGTCAAGGCGCATGAGGCGGAGCTCGAAGCTGTCCGTCAGAACGCCATTGCCGATGCGACTGAGGCTTCCCAGAAGGCACTGCGACAGCATTTCTATACCGTGACTAAATTCTTGTGCGCCGCGGCCATCCTTCGACGCGACGGTGATGCCGTCACCACCGAGAGCCGTGCTTTTGAGGGTGTTCTATTCGAGGTGTACGCTGGCAATCAGGCTGCAGTCAACTCGCTACTGAAGATTGCCGAAGGTGCTGATGAGAAGGTTAATGCTGTTGAGGGCACCACTCTTGATTTTACCTGTCAGTATTGAATGCCCCGCCCCCGCCAAATATGCTTGAAGGCGCTTTGCTGACAATAAATCTCTTAAGATGGCGACGTGAAGCAATCATCTGACAAGTTCGCTCCGCCCGAGGAGACTACCGAAGTTGTCTCGGAGGCAACCCCCGTCACAGAATCTACGACCGACCCTACCATGGCCAATGCTGGACTGACCGAGCTCCAGGATAGCTCTTTCGGCGCTCAGGCTGAGCCTGCAGCTTCCCAAACTGATCATGTGGTTCCTCCTGCGCAGACTATGGTTTCCGATGCTGGAAACTCTACCGCGGAGCAAACCTGGGCTCCTACTTCCGATGAGAGCGGCGAATGGGTCAAGCTTCCTCGCAATCCTGATGAGACCGACACTGGCCTTCAGGCTACCCCGGCTAGCGCTGATGCGGGGTTGAACAATGGCTCGGTTGGTGCTGATGTTTCGACTCAGGGCGAGAACGGTGCCAAGTCTGCTGGACGCCGCCGCCACGGACAGGGAAACCGTGGCCGAGGCCGGAATGATGCTAAGCGTGCTCCTGAGGGCCGGACTGGCGAGGGTCGTGCTCCCGAGGGTCGTGGACGTGGTGGAAGACGAGGCGGTCGTGGCGGTCGTGGTCGTGGCGGTGCAAGCGGCCCTGGCCCTAGCTCGGCGGAAGCTCCTGCTTCCAGCGAGTAAGAGTGGCAATCCTAGGATGTCAGTTGGAACCTGCTGATTTTGTGACATTGTCTCGAAATTGGAGTTCCAACAAGAGCTTTCTGAGCCTGTCTTCTCGGGACTGGCTTCGTCAATTTCTGATCCGATGTGATGGCTCACGAACGCAACGAATTTTCTTCACGGAGAGTCATTTTGATCTCTTCGTCTGGCTTTCCCAGAGTCTTCTTGACCCATGTGCTGCAATTTTTTCAGCGTGCATATTCCTGATCTTTAGAGAGCTTCTCTCACGACATACATATGTATTCTATGGCTATTGTTTTATCGGCGCTTGTGAACGGACCGGTGGACAGACTTAGGTCGGGCATAGATCGAAATTGATCATAATGAGTGCACCAATACTTTACAAGATATGATTTTGATAAGAGTGTCTTTCAGTATTGCTAATTCAAACTAGGTCTACTATTTGGATAGGTGGATAATCTATGTAGCCAATATGGAATGAAGTAGACGAGACCAAGACTTATACTATATCACGTGATGTAACACCCACCGCGGGCTCCTCGGAGTTACTTCTTTTAGCCTAGCTTACACCAACGTAATGTATTTACCGTTATGCGGAGTACAAAGCTTTGCCAAGTGCGAAGCAACCATGCACGACCTAATGACAATAACCGAATACGCCTTTCAGGCGTATTCCGTAATTACCAGCGTATTCCGGATGATACCTGTTTTCGGGGCATAGCGCTAAACCATGATAGGCAATGAATACCGACGCCCAGTGGAGTTCCTGGCGCATTCAATCTGATTAAAATGATCTCTCTACTCTTTGCATAAGTGTCAACTTAGTGTTGACTTTGCATTTTTGTCATTCAGAGCTCTTCTCACCTTCTCCTTATATCTGCTACTGTATATACGGCGTCACCAACAATGGCCATAGCTGGCGCCCACCGTAAGCAGGTGCTGAAGGTGGTGGTACTATCTTTATTGATAGATCTGGTATCAAGCTACCCCTCTAAACCCAACAGTCACATGTATTTGAACTAAGCATGCCTCTAGATCTCCTTTACATTTATTCTGCCCCTCTTCCCTTCGCTCCTATCGTTCTATCGTGCGCAAGATCCGTCCCCGGATTCCCTCCTCAATCGCATCTTTCACTACCTAAACGCCTACAAAAACTCATTCGCGCGTCCCATTGACTCGCGTTATGACATCGCACTCCTCGGTGGAGCTCTCGGCTCTTTATTCTCTCTCCTCCAAGCCTTTGCTGCACCCGTCATAGGCCGCCTATCTGACCGCTATGGCCGCCGACGCGCCCTACTCATCTCCATGCTAGGCAACCTCTTAAGCGTCGCGCTGTGGGTTTCGGCCAGAGACTTTCGTACCTTCCTCGTCAGTCGTATCGTTGGTGGCCTAAGCGAAGCAAATGTACAAATGGCCAACGCCATCGTGGCGGATATCACAGACGATGAGCGTCGCGGCTCCTCCATGGCACTAGTCGGGGCCTGTTTCAGCGTCGCGTTCACTTTTGGGCCGGCGCTAGGTGCAGCGCTCACTAATATCGACATGGTTGCCGAGAACCCGTTCATTGTTGCTGCGATTGTGTCTTTTGCTCTAATATTCATTGAGACTGTGTACCTTTGGGCCTGTTTGCCGGAAACCCATCCCCGCTTGACGACGCTTCAGATGGAGGGCGAGAGTATCTTGGCCGAGAAGAACGATGCATCGAGTAAGCAGACAGAAGAGAAGAGCTCTGCTCCCGCTCAGCGCACCCATACAAATAGCCTGGCCCTTCTCAATGCCCTCCACTTCCTCTTCCTACTTCCCTTCTCTGGCATGGAGTTCTCCCTTCCCTTCTTGACTACAACACTATATGCGGGATCAACAACGACGGCCAGCCCTGCCGCATTGAACGGACGTCTCTTGTCTCTGATGGGCTTGGTCGCATCCCTCCTTCAGGGTACGCTGACACGCCGTCTCCCACCGCTGATGACCCTCCGTGCCGGTGTTGTGGCCTGCACCATCTCATTCTTCTGTCTTGCTCACGTTTCTTCGCCCTCGGGTCTCTATGCTGTCGGTGCTCTGTTGGCGGTAACAACCGCTACGGTCGTCACGTCACTCAACAGCCTGGGCAGCTTCGAAGCGCAGGACGCGGATCGTGGCGCGGCTCTAGGTCGTTTGCGGGGGTGGGGGCAGGCTGGAAGGGCAGCTGGTCCTATCTTGTTCTGCTCTCTGTTTTGGTGGGCTGGCCGTGAGGCTGCCTACACAACAGGTGGGTTTGCCATGTGTGCCGTTACAGTTGCGGTTTTCAGCTTGTTGAAACCACCTGCTATGCACAAAAAAACCGAGTAACATACAAAATTATACAGAGGAACGTTGTAGAAAGCAGATTTCATATAAAGACGGTCCCAATGTCTTACCTTTCTTATTTTTATTTCTCTCTTAAAACTGCCGAGAGAGTAGTATGAGCTCCCAAATGTGTATCTCCATCTCCCTCTTTCTCTGTTCTAAAAGACCAGATCAACTTTGCGCTTTCGGGTCAACCATCGTCTTCCCTTGCTCCCCTGACTACCTTGTCTGACCTGCCAAAATGAGCCAGCAAGGTTCCCAAATGTACAGGCGCCATAACTTTAACCAGAGGGTGATATCAAAAGTGACACTAAGAATCGCAAGTTATAGTTACGGGCCGGGACGTCCTTGAATATACAGTGTCTAGGAGCTCAAGAGTAAGAATCAAGTCTATCACAGCAAGGAGCAGGAAACCCTCCGTTCAAAAGTTCCTATGATTGACGAGAGGATGAGATGCTGGAGGCCTCAGTATGACATGCGATTGTATTATTGATGTTTTGGTGTGTTGATAAAATATAACACACAAAAGAGCGGCGAAAGTACATGTTAAGTATGCTAGCAGAAAAGACCAAGTAAAAGAGAGGAGTTTGACATCAAAACAGCCCGTCCTTTGCGCCTTGAACCAGAAAGATATTTGGACCCAGGATACACAAACACAGCGGTTATTGTACATTATTTTATTGCGTTTGGAGATTTTTCATCGAGCAAGAGACTCGCTCGGGGTAAAATTCAATGTGAGGGCGCAGTCACAATCTCCGGTCATTGCCAGAAACAAACGCATGGCTTTGAGAAGTCGCCATGGCAAGTCCAGTACTGACAGCCGGGTCAAGCGAGCCGCGCGCTTTGCCAATGAGCCAGTCAGTGAGAGTCACGAATTTAGCAGTCCGGTCCCAGCCGTCCGCCTCATCGGCATGCTCGATGGTATGAGTCAGGATGCGACCCTCCTCATCGAAAGAGAAGATAAAGATACCGGTAAATTGCTCTTCCTTTGAAAGCTTGAAAATAGGCTCCTCTCCACCAAGAAGGACACTCAAGCCTTTGTTGGTGCCGTTTATAGAAGCCGAGAGATGGCTATTTTGTGAGGATGGCGCAGTTTTCGAGGGGGTTTTAGAATTGGTGTTTGAAGAGCCTGGGCCATGGAAGGGGCGGCTATCTGTTCGTGGCTCTGTCTTCCATCGTACTAGTAGGCGTTCATCGCCACAATCGTGGTGGTCGCCGTGATGCGTGGGGTCGAGCAGCGTCCCGGCGCGTACTATCCTTTCGCTGAGGATTTGCAATTTCACGTTTCCGACTAGTGGCACGCTACTCCATGCTACTGGGACCGTCCAGAGTGCTGCGCGATAAAGCGTGCGTCCTTTGACAGTGGGGAGGTGTGGATGTGTGGACGGGAATAAGTGAAGGTTAACACTCGGAGCGAGGATCTCGGTGGGTAAGGTATTATACAAGAGAGTCGGTAAGAGGGGCGAGAGGATTCGTAGAGCTTTAATTGTTAGTTCAACGGGTCTCGCTTTTTGCTATTGAATAAGGAAATAGTAAGTACACACTTTTTCCGAGTTTCAAGGTTCTTTCATCTGGCGGTTTGTGATCTGTTTTCCGAGGACACTCTCCAACTTCCCTCCGCACCCCGGCCGGGGAGAAGTATGTGACTGGTAGAGGTGTGACTGAAGTTGGAGCTAGCCAGGGCTCATTGAGAAGTCCATGACGGGGTTGCGCCAGTCGCTGTCGCGAAACTGAAGCAAAAGGCCGCCCCAAGACAGGGCTTCTCGGCGGATGGGAAAGAGACGGGCGCAGATAGACCAGCTTCAGCATTCTGCATTTCAAAAGCAGTCTAGTCCTAGTATGTTGTCAAGCCATGTGGGTTTGTTGAAAGGTTGAAGTTGCTCGGGGTCGGGGAATCGGGAAAATGACGTTGCGAGAACCAATCATGATGCTCTGGTATACAACATTATACCAATTGTTATATTCACTACAATTCATGACAGCGTTATGACTCTCCAGGTCTCCAGGTCTCCAGGTCTACAAATCTGCCAGTCTACCAGTCTACCAGTCTACCAGTCTACATATCTGAATTCAGGGCACTAATTTAACATATTATTCATAAGTACCCTAACTTCAAGCCAGTTCATCGTCTTCCATTCCCATGACACGCCGTTCAGCCAGATCGCGGATCTTGTCCTCTAGAATTCCACGTCCAAATCGCTGTGCAATCTTAGCGGACGCTTCGAGCATCTTACCGTTGCGGTCCGTCATCAACGTTACCAGCTCCAGCGCCTTCATCCCACGTTCCTCGCCCTCTCTGCATTCAATGGCCAGCATCTGCAGCAAGTTCTTATCCAACTCGACCTCTCTCCGCGCCAGGTCAGAACGCTGGCTTGCTGTCGCATTGGTTGACGATAAAAGGTCGCGGAAGAGCGACAAAAGTACGTTTCCACGTACGAATGATTCTTCGAAACGGGCGCCCTCGGCTGCTGTGTCGTCAGATTCACTCGAAACCTTCGGAGCACTGGCAATCGGAATTTGGAAGTCGAATTCACTGAGCAGCGGCCGTGGGAAGTAAGGATTCTTGTCGCCACCCTTGAGAATGATACAGTGAAACTTGTCTTGTGCGACAGCCACTGGCCAGTATGTTTCTTCTTTCCGTCCCCCCGCGAGACGTGCCATCTGCTTCGTGTCCAGGAGTGGTACCCATCGGGCTTGGCCGGGTGTACGCCAGTGTTGCAGGACTAATAGGACGCCAGTCGAGTCATAAATACAAGGATCCTAAGAATATGGTTAATTCTGTATTTCAACACTTTTGCTTTGAAGACGCCTACCCCATTATCGGAGAAGAAAACACTCTGCAGCGAGGCGCCTTCGGGAAGGGCGACAGTGTCCTCGTTTTGGCAAATCTCGTCGCGCTTGACATTTTCCACTGTGTATCGTAATGTCGTGTGGCCATCAACCCCTATAGCGCCGTTGCCGATACTCATAATGTAGTCGCGCCAGGCCGCGCAAGTCACGGCTTGGCTCTTCTGTCGATACACCTTGAAAGGGGTTCCAAAAAGAGTGTACACTCGGACATAGTCCTTTGATGTCACAGCGACAATATATGAATCGCTAAGTGCCAGAGCTGACAATGAGCATTAGTAGGAGATTACATTGAGTGTAGTTCTTTGAGGTCTTACCTTGAATTTGCTCCCCTTGGGGCAATTCAGTCCGCCAGTCGGCTCGTGCAGTCCACGTCTCGTGTGGTCGGTAAAAGATAGTGGCCGGACCACCGTCCGAAGGGTTATTGGCAAAAAGTGTTCCGTTGTCATCTAACTTTGATCAGTCAAAATTCCAACACAAAAAGCCAAGATCAGAGGAAAACCCACTCAGACAAGCCTTGTCATACATATATGGATCAGTGAAGTGGAAGTCTCGATGGGCTTCTCGGTCATAGAATTCCACAGTTACAGTGTGATGAGTCTCCTGGTCCACCGTCCAGACAGCTCCTGTCAAGTTCAAGCCTGGCCAAGTTAGAAAATCAACATCACCGAAGATGGAAGAAGAACATACAGAGATATCTCCTACTCCCAGCCCAAGGCGTGCTACCGGGTTGAAAAGGCTGATGGGCCTGGGGCCTCTCGATGCCAGAGTAAAGGCGCTTGTTACTAGTACCGCCGAGATCATCGAGATGATCGTTTGGCCGCTTGCCATACATATTTAGCTCCTCATCGGCATAACCAGCCCCATCATCATCCTCGACAAAATCCATCATCTGGTCATCTCCACTAAAGATATCAGCAAGTGAGTCTGGACTTCCTCTTCTCGCCGCTCGCTGGATGGCCTCCTTGGACCGCTCCGCCAGTGTGGTTCGCCCTACATTATTGGAGATCTCGCCCAGGGGTCCAGGCAAGATAGGAGCAGCCTGCAGCGATTTATGCAGCAAAGGCTCGTGATCCTTCGGCACAAAGTTATCGTAGATGAAAAGCTCTCCATCTGAAGTTGTGAATGAAAGCGAGTTCTTGGTCGGATGCCATGATAGGTTCATGACATTTTCAAAGTCGTACCGCTGCAAGATATTTTGCGTCTTTGCTTCCCAGAGCACGATATGTCCATCTGCCGCTGCAGATGCCAGGAGAGCTCCGTTCGGGGCCCAGCTCAAGGCTGTGATGTCGCCAGTATGACCACCGGCAAATGTTTTCTCTTTCTTCCACTCCGAGGTTGAGTAGACAGAGATATCTCTGGTCGCTTCTGCAGATGCAAATGCAGTACCATCGGGATGCCACACTACTCTTGATGTCCCCTCGGCATCTGGTTCCAGTCGTTGAATTACTCCATCGAGTTTGCGGACTAACTCCGGTTCCTCTTCGTGCATGGAGTATATATAGAGAATCCCATCCGTTCCGGATACTGTCGCATATCGGCCACTGGGATCGAATGTGACATGTTTCGTACCCTTGGACTGTTCCCGAAGGTATTTGACCTGCGTCATGTCGTCGACTTTCACGATCTTGACTGTGAGCTCACTATTCCGCCAATATTAGCACATACTATCCCCTGTCATACCCCGATCCCTGCAATACTTACTCGCTTGCTACCGCAACCCATTCCCCATCTCTCGTAACTGCAATGTCTCTAACTGGTAAAGCGCATCGTACAAGCAAGTTTTGCATCTTGCCCGACATAATGTCGTACTTCCAGACTGTCCCATCCTCAGCACCCATGATGAAAGACCGGTTCTAGCAATCCAGTCAGTTCATCCGGTGGATCCTGAAAATCCTCTGCTCCAACATACCGTAGCACCAACACCAAAATGCGCGTCAACACCTTCATCGATGGTCTTGGGCTCTCCATCTTCGCCGACCGTGTAGATACGAATTGCCGAGTTGGAGCCACCAGTAATGATCCGTCGTCCATCAGGTGTGTATGTCAGTATCGTTGTGCCAGGTGTGTCTATTCGAAAGCCGTGTTATCAGTGACCATTGTAACCTCCCCAGATCATCAGCATTGACTTACGGGCTGGGCGCCCCCGCGGGCGAAGAGGGTCGAAGCTCATTGCAAACGAGATCTGAGGTAGATGATTCAATCAGGTTGCAATTAGAACGTCTGGAGCATCTTTCGATCTTAATCTGGTGGATCGCAGATGGCCAGGGATCTACAAGGTGAGACGCGTTCGCGTTACGCGCCTAGATTGATTTAACCGGATTGGGTAATAGAATAGGGCTCAGGGCTCAGGGTAAGGGCCCCTTTGTTAAGACATTCGATGGATCAAAGTTCGAATCATTTGGTATTTGATCCTCATCTGAAATTGATTCTACGTGCTGGTACCTCCAGCTGCTAAGAAGTCAAAATCTGCTCCCTCGTGGGCTTGGTTCACCGATCGCTCATACAACCCGCGGTAACCTCTCCTCTGCTTTCTTGCCTGTGTGTCTCCTACAAGACTTTGTCTGCGTTTCTCAATTCGAGTCTGCAATACCGCTTCGGAAACTTCCAAGTGCAACTTCCTTGTCTCTATATCACAAATGATCAAGTCACCAGTCTCCACCACGCCAAATGGTGACTCTGGCAGTGCAGCTTCTGGCGAGATATGGAGAATAATGGTTCCGCCCGCCGTCCCCGACATCCGACCATCTGAAAGTCGTAGCATATCCTTGACTCCTGCCTCTGCTAACTTCTTTGGGATCGGTATAAGGCCAGCCTCTGGCATACCGGGATTTCCAATCGGACCAATGTTTTTTAGGACCAGCACACTGTCCCTCGTCACAACTAGGTTTGGATCATCGATCCGCTGAGCAAGGTCGGCCGAATTCTTGAACACTACGGCCGATCCAGTGTGAGAGAGTAAGTGACGATACTTTGACGCTGAGACTTTAAGGACCGCTCCATTTGGGGCAAGGTTGCCACGCAGAACAGCCAGGGATGACGAGGGAAACAAAGGGTCCGACATCGGTCGAATAATTTGTTGCGCAAAAGAAAGCCGCTTGGACTGAGACGCATCGAGAACCTCACCCAACGTTTGCCCAGTGATTGTCACTGCAGATAAATGGAGCAGGGGTCGAAGCACCTGCAACAGCGCCACCATGCCTCCTGCATTATGGAAGTCATTCATATAGTTATCTCCACTCGGCTTGAGATCAATTAAGAGCGGAGTTTTGCGGCCAATTTCCTCAATGGTATCTAAAGTGATGGCTCCCTGCAGTTCTGGGTGTCTATTTGCAATAGCCAGCAGATGAACAACGGCATTTGTCGAGCCCCCAATGGCCTGGAGCACTGTGATGGCATTCCAGAAAGATTCCTTAGTCAAGATCTCTTGTGGTTTTCTCTTTGATTTAGCAGTTGCGACTGCATTTGCGCCGGTTTCCTCAGCAATTCGCAATCTCGCAGATGATACTGCTGGTGCAGTTGCGCCCCGAAGCGGCATCATTCCCAACGCAGCAGTCAGACAAGCCATTGTGCTGGCAGTTCCCATGACACCGCATGTACCTATCTGAACGTGTAGTTATTGCGATTAGCGGAGTGAATGGTTTTTGATCTGATGACATCGCATCTGCACATACCGTTGGAGCAAGCTCTTCGTTGATGGCCGAGATTTCCTCAAGGTCAATCTCACCCGCTCGAAAAGCGGCCCAATTGTTTCGGCAGTCCGTACAGGCCCCAATACGCTGGCCGCGGTGGCTCCCTGGCATCATTGGACCAGTGATGAGTGGTAGGATTGGTTTGTTAGCGGAAATGCCACCCATCAACTGAGCAGGGACGGTTTTATCACACCCTAGATACTGTCAGCGGAGATTCTCAGATACTAAGAACGCAATGCTAAAACCAAACGATTGGAACCCACCGCCGATCATGATACAAGCATCCAACGGTTGGGCTCGGATCATCTCCTCCGTATCCATGCTCATGAGGTTCCGCAAGAACATGCTGGTAGGATGTGAGAATGACTCGGCGACACTGATCGTAGGAAATTCTATTGCCAATCCTCCATTAAGTTGCACGCCGCGCTTGGCAGCCTCAATGAGCTGGGGCACATTGGCATGGCAGGGATTGAACCCTGAAAAAGTGTTGATGATACCCACTATTGGACGTGAAAGCGCATCTTCTGAATAACCAAGTGCCTTGATAAAAACTTTTCGAAGAAAGAGAGAGAAATGGGCATCTCCATAGGATGTTAGACCCTGGCGAAGTCCAGATGTGGACGTGACTGGAATTGTAAGATCATAGTCTCTGTTGGGATCTTGTTCCATTTTTCTTTTGTTTTCGGGGGTTTTAAAGCTATCGAGGAACTGCGTCTCGAATATCTCAAGCGACTTATATATTCCCCTCCATGGGGGAGATGGTGTCATCGGTGCAAGGCCGATCCGGATAATAGTCCGAGCCGAAAATTCGCGTATAAAAGAAATATCAGGTCCTCCATGATAAAACGCTGATCTATTCAATGCTCCAATACAATCTATACTCTACACTCTCAACTTTATCTTCACTCGCAGCTCCTTGGTCGGTCGGAAAGCACCCCAGCTAGTCCTGTGCCCGGGAACTGAGAGGGATTTACCACCTGTGGGCTCAATCTCCCACAAGGCCACAATACCGGCAATAAAAGTCAAGATAGCTCGCTCAGTGAAGCCATTGTTGGTTGAACCATATAGTCCATCCGCAAAGGGCGCAATGATGCTTGGATCAGCCCGCTGTTTCCCCGTTGCAGGATCAGTCACAAGAAATCGTAGAGGGTCATACTGCTCCGGGTTTGAGAAGTACCGAGCATCATGGTGATGGGCACCATGGGGGACAATGATACCCTCGCCTTTTGCAATTTGGTATGTACGGGGCTCAGCTTGGCCATGAGCAGCTTCTTCGGCCGACTCGGAAAGTATCACGTCGGACGCCAGCTTCTTGAATGAAATTCCTGCTGAATGGAGACGCACAGTCTCGTAGTAACATGCTTTGAATAGTGGACAAGAAGGGAGCACTTTTTCAATATCCAGAGAGAGACGAGGAGGTTCATCGAAGGGAAAGCCTGTTTCCTCGCGAGTGAGTCTAGAAGCTACCACGTAAGAGGAAATTTCTTTGCGGACTTGATCGAGAAGTGAAGGTTCGGCAAAGAGATGAGTGATTGTCCAAAAAGTGATCTTGGTGGTATGTTCAATCAGATCGTAATATAGAGACAAGTGCCCTGCAGCACTGGCACCTGGAGATAGCTCCAATTTGCGGAAAGTTCGCATCCTATCTTTGACCAGTTCAGAGACATCGTCAAGATCACGCAGTTCAACACCGGTGTCAATCCCATCGTCCCAAGCAGTAAAAGCTCGATGGAAGATCGAAAAGATGTGGCAAAGCCGATTACTCGCCGCATGCCCTGCTGACGCTGCTGGGTGCGGGACCCAGCGAGGAGTGCCAGCGAACAATGTCAGAAAGCAATCATCGATTCTTCCAAGATCTTCCGAGAGATTGGGGAAATTTTCCACAAAAGCCTCTCCCATCAAGAAAGTAGAAGTGACATGACCAATAAAATTGCTCACAAGCGCAAACAGATTGGCCTCACAAACTGTCTGGTCCCCTTCATCGGGAACTTCCACTCCACTGATTCCACGCTCCCAGGGGTATTGGTCAACGATACTTCGACAGAAGCTCACCAGATTTGGCATGTCGCGCTGCACCAGTCGGGTCATGGTAGACGAAGCTTCAGCGACAAAAGCATCCTCACTGAGGATGGTAGAAGCCCGGTCGCTAACTCCTTGGTTACAATCTAAATCCAGATTGCGGATGAGGCTGCGGTCGCCAAAGACGTTTTGCAGAACCTGATCAAGCAACTGGTTGGTTGATGTGGCAGGTTTAGAAAAAACAGTTTTCATCATAGATGGCGAAGTTACAGCAGTGTACCTCATGCCGCGAAGGTAAATGCCAAAGACCGGCTCATTCATCGATTCTCTATAATGGCATTAGTAGGTGCGATAGAATGACGAGATGGTGAAAACCCAACCGAGTTCTTGTAAAAAAGGGGACATGATTCCATAATAAAGCAGGGCCATGTCCAATCCAGGGAAACCAATAAGGTGCTTGTCGCACCGTCTGTATGTTTGAAGGGTCTCGTTCACGTCGACTCTGAAGCCCCGAGAGAATCCGGGTTGTGATGCATATGAACACCACAACAGCAAAAACTGTTGACCAGTTTATACTGAAATATTTCTCACGCAAGGCCTGTATAAGACTCAAGGCTTCATGCTTCTCCATTGTGATCGAATCAATGTTGTCTAGAACAAACCCTGCCATGCAGGATAACACGGGTTTATAGCGCCAGCACCCCTTCAGGGCTCTAGTTACGTAGTATGGTGTAGCCGACAACTTGAATTGATCAACTCCAAGGAACTTCCCATTGATATATCCCAGTTGCAGGGTGAAGGGAGACACGATGGCAAGTGGCCGGGGTCTTTTTTGGTGGCTTACTAAGCTCGTTGGTCTCAGTTGGGTTCTAATTTTGTTGGTGACTTTCATTGACTTTTGATATTTTCAAAAGAGATTGTGCTTGATTTCTATATTGAAATCAAATAAAACCCCTTGGGAGGGCTCGGATTGAAGTTGATATCATGACTTGATCTGCGTTGATACTTCCCTAACAGCAGATCTATATCCATGATGAATTTAAGCTTCACAAAACAGGAGTCGAACAAAAAGGACTAGATTCAGTGCCAAGGTCTACTGCAGCATAGTATTTGACTTTTTTTAATATCAAATCAAAGGTGATGATATTTACATGATTGTGATACTGCCAGTAATATGGAGCGATGTTGAGTTGAGATTGATATACAGTAGATAAAAGCTCAATTCTCCTTCTGCAAAGACTTCGACAACGCAGCACTTTCACACTCATACTTGAGTATCTTTGATTGTGATCCGTGAACTTTGCGCAGAAGCCATTCGATTCGGGTAGTTAGCTCCCAGGGGTACTTGGGCAACGAGCCAAGGACCTGTAGCTCCTCCTCATACTTTCTGATACTTGAATTCTCGTTGCCGATGAGCTGTGAGAGAATTAGCAGATCAAGGCGGCTCTGCAGGGTCTTGTTCGCAACCAGGCGTTGGAAAGCAGCTCGATAAACGGGTTTCCCGGGCTTGACGTATCGAGGAAATCCTTTGTCGGTTCCGATGGAGACGAGCTCTGCTTGCTCTAGTGCCCGGAGAGTGGCCTCGCCATTATCCTTGAATATATCCTCGAGGAGGACTTTGGTGTACAGCAGGCTTCCTTCCTTCGAGTTGGCGATGGATTTGATCAGATACCACGCCTGTTCACGGGTCCATTGAGGTGCAATCGACTCTGTTCCGAGAATGAATATTTTCAGAATTTCAGACGCCGATTGTTCGATGATACGGTCCACGGCAGCTATGCAATGGTTAATAGAATTTTGAGGTAAGACAAAAAATAAATTTACCTTCGGGTGTCTCCCCGGCCTCAATCCGATGGGCCATGAACTCCAAGTCAGTGACTCGACCACCCAGCACCTTGATACAATAATCCAGGCTATGAAGCGTCTCTTTGCGCCTTGCGTCCTGCTCATCGTCACTGTTTCCTGCCTCTGTATCAAGATGACTCAGCACGAAACGACGACCAACTTGGAGCGAGCAGTCACCCAAGGCAATTGTGCGGAACACTTGATTAGGCATGGATTTGCTCAATGGTTTTGCGAATGAGGAGTCGGTTGTCAAGAAGACAACATGGGCGATGTTTGCGGATGTCAAACCAGCCGCCCATTCAGTAAGTTTGTCGAGCACGACACTATCATCCGCGTCATAGACAAAATTGTCAATTACAACAACAGGCCTCACTTCAGGATGGGCCTCCAGGTATTCATCTTCGGACATGTTGAAGTCTTTGTCGTCCTTTCGTCTGCCTTCCAAGGCGACTCGCTTCATGGCGACACCGGTGTTCTGCCAGATCTTGCTCAACTGCGCATCTAGCGTCTCAGAGAAGCCAGCTTTGGTGCCAATCATTCCCTGCGCAGCGAGGTCAATGAAGCTGCTGATGCTGTTCATCCAAGAGAAAATCGGCCGGTAGCCGACCTGGGCGGCTGCTCGGGAGATCTTGGCTGTATCACCCCGAGCATCTTGAATTTGCTTGCAGTCAATGATGACCTTATATTTGTGCTCTTTCAGAGCTTGCTCCAGAACCAATTCGCGCTTCCCAGAGCCCCGTGGACCATAGATGACAATGAAGGTATCCGCGGTCTCCGTCAGCCAGGCTCGCAGTTGCGCAATCTCTTGTTGTCGGTCTTCCCAGATAGCCGCAAGACCTCGCGGGTCCGACTTTCGCTTCCCAAATGAGAACATGCTGGCTTTGCTGGCCTGTTCGCGAACCCACTGCAGGACTGGATTCTCTCCGCTCTGGAACGACGACTTGATTTTGAGCGTGATGAAGAACGTGCGAATTGGATCGAAGACAATGACCGTTATTGCGGCTATCAGAGCAGCTATAGCAGGTATCACCAGCCTCGGGTGGTTCAAAATCCAATCCTTGATCATAAACAGCTTAATCTTGCGCTCGTAGTTGATCCTGAATCTTGTGCCGGACTTGCCACCACCACCCTTTTCGGATACAATAAATCCATGCATGCAGTTCCTGGCCATGACGGCGAACCGAGGGCGTTCGAATCGCAATGTTGCATATCGTGGTTCGACCTTCGAATCTGAAGACTGTGTTTGGATGTCCAAAATTTTGCCGTAAGGTCGGAACAGTGAGTACAGAGTCTCTTGAGTTAATTCCACCGCTGAGTTATCTGGGGACGTTGGCAAGAACTCGACCTTTAGAGTCTGGCTTGGGATTCGATAGAGGTCTTCGATCCACGGCGTTCCGCGAACAAGGTCTGCATCGACTTTCAGGAACGGATTAAACCATGGCGTAATAGGACTGGCTCTCAGATGATCTTTGATTGCATTCTGGATACTTTCGTTGCTGATGTCGGACTTAAGTGCATACTTCAAGAAGGCGCCTCCTTCTTTGTACCTCGTCACGACCTCTTTGATCTCCAGGTTTAGTTCTTTGGGCAAAGCTCGCTGCACAATACGAGCCGGGTCAGCTGCTGCTAGTTCTGGATTGTTGACTCGTGCCAAAATTCCCTCCAGGGGTTGAATATGGCTGAGGGGTCCCCGCAGCAGCCACTGTAATCGGTGCGGAAATATATCTAACGCTGGTTAGCAGGTAGACATGATAGCACCTAATGGTTTGGCGCTCACTGTTAACATAGATAATGCCTTCATTTTCCCCCACTGAAATGTGTCCCGATTTAATACTAGAAGATATGCATCGTATCGTAGAGCGTCCCCAATGCGGAGGTCTCCAACCCCGGGACGCATTGGCGCTGACATGAGAGCGTGTGGAAGGCCAGACGGCCAGTGGACCTTTTGCTAAAAGTAGGTGTCTCATTCTAGTCACAGACACATACCGAATAGAAGGGGATAAAAGCTTGGAAGAGCGATCAAGTTGTTTATATGTGCCAAATGAATGACGTCGGTTTGTGACTATCACCGGTTATCGGTGCCACGTGATATATTGATCACCGCGAAAAAAGATAACCTCGCGATTTCCAGGTGTCGCGAAAGACCCATCAATCCTTTCCTCTCGCAAAACAAAATGGGCTGGCTGTGGGGATCAAATAACAAGGACGTCCCCAAGGATATTCCACCTACAATTCCTTTAGAGCCAGCAAAGCAGAATCCACCATCGAAGACCTTGACCCCCGACGAACAAGCCGACTTGGAATTCAACCAAATCCTGGCCGATCTCAGAGCAGAGGATGCGTCGCTCTCAAAACGGACAGGGCTAACCCCTGAGGGCAATCCGTTACCAGAATCTCAAATACCTTCATCACCCATCTCTCCCGAATCCCTCTACCAAGATACCATGTCCTGCCGCAATGCCTTCGACTACGCCTTCTTCTGTCAGTCTTTCGGAGGCCAGTTTGTGAATGTATATCGATATGGAGAACTGCGATCATGCAGCGAACACTGGGATAATCTATGGCTGTGCATGAAGACACGAACGTGGCCGGACGATTTGCGCAGGAGAGAGATCCGAGACCACAACCGGAAGAAGTCGATCAAGTATAAGACAGGCCCCAGCAGTGAGGATGTCTGGGATGTGCGGCTAGACCCAGCCAAAGAGTCATTCAAGGGAAATTTTGCCGCAATGTGGCAGGAGATGAAGGCGGAAGATGAAGCAGCGAAACAACAGGCGGAACAGGCAGTTCCATGATGTCCCTGGTTTCTCTCTGCCCTCCTTGTTACGATATGTAGATATGCACCTTTTATTTCATTCAGTCATGTATAATATGGTTTTCTCCATTTCCCTGTTGTATTATCAGCATTTGTTCGATGGTCATATGGATGACCCTACAGATCACATATAGCGCCTTAGAGATCGTTATTAGCACCTACTCCGTACACTGTACAGTTCTACATGCTCCAAGCTTATTATTCTCCTTCCATTTACTCTGTGTGGGCTATCTCAACTTGCCCCCAATTTATTAAAAAAAGAAGTTACTGAAGAGAGTTACTGATGCTGAAATTGATCAATTGGCGTAAAATGCCCCAAGAGACGCTTCAAGAAACGCCGCATCAATGAATGGACTAGAAACCAGAAGAAAGAACTAGCAGAATTCCCAAATGTCTAAAACATACTCCGTAGATACAATAGAAATGTCTCGGGACATCAAAGCGGAAATCCCAAACGCACGGGCCGACAGAGGCTGGGACGCTGTGAGTAGTCACCCTGCATATCAAGGCTCAACTACGAAGCAAGGTCATATGGTACAGTTTAGAGAACAGTTCAAGAAGCTAGCATCCTGTAATTCAATGAAAGGCAGATAACCAAGGTGATATACTCCGATTCTCTAGTTGCCCAATCCAGAATTCCATTCTTTTATTACTCTTCGTCTTCCTCCCTTATAGACAGGAGCCGTGGTTTGATGTGATTCCTTATTCGATCTTCAATATCCGCTATCCTAGCATTGACAGAACTCCTGCTGCCAGTGCTGCACCTAGAGGAGACCACACTAGCTACAGAGGAAGAAGTGACCTTTCGTAGAGTCACAGTCTCAATCGTCGAATCGGCATTGGGGTTCAACTTCTTGCTGAGTCTTTTTACTTTCGCGCTAGTGGGATGGTCAGTTTTGAGCTTGGCCACGGCAGCAGTGATCTCAGCGATATCAGATGGACTGGGCCCAGCAGCTGGAGTAGAACGATCGCTCGATTCCCCGGGGTGGGAGGTGAGAGGCCTGGCGCGACCTCTGGTCTTCGTACAGTTCTTGTGCATCTTTGTTCGGAGGTCTGACCCGACACTCCTACCGCGTCCCGATACTCGACCATCATTATAATGGCGGAGGGAACGTCGCTCCCCATCAATCTTGCGGTCAGTGACGAAGCCGTTTGGATTGAGGTCGCTCGCGGCCTCGGTTGTCTTGGCGGCTTCGTTGCCCATGTGTGCGATAGATAGGATCTGTGCTATGGAATAGGCTACCCGGGTCAATTAGGATGGATGAATGGAATGGCATGATCCGGAAAAGCACGGGATAGACAAGGACAGTTATATAGTGTTGCCATCAAAGTCAGTCATGCAAGTTTAACAAGGGAATTTGCCAAAAGAAAGAAGCATAAAGTCATTGTCGACTCTTCAGCTCTTTGTTCTTTCACAAAAAGACAAGATATCTTTTGGGTTTACAGAGATTGAAATAATGATGGAGCATAGTCGAATTTGCAGAAAAGCTATGTACAACAAAAAAAAAAAGATATCACCGAGTGGCAGACGCTCTGAACACCTTGCAAGTTTGAAGAACGAAAAGAAGCCATGGGTAAAAACGCTGAATCAAAAATGAAAGATGAAAATTAAACCAAGAAAATAAGACGTAGAAAGCAAAGCTCAAGTGAGCGCAGTACTGGAGGATTTTTTCATTTGCGCAGAGAACCAACCCCGTGGAGTCCCGTCTAAGTCACGAGTGTTTATCCCATTTGTTCAACTTTTCCGCGTTGGAATGAAATTTTAGCATGATAATGGCCGTCAAAGTCGTAAACATGTCGTGCACCGCTAGATTAAGCAGCGACCTCAGTGGGTTGGGGGACGGAGTCAATGGCAGGACGACGGACTATACCACCGGTGACTGGGAGCTGGGAACTAGTTCCGCTGAGGAAAGAATCCACTTCGCGAGCACACTGGCGACCTTCGTTGATACCCCTAGAATCATTTTAGTACAAATTTCTATCTATAAGAACTGGACGAAAACTTACCAGACAATCAAAGACTGTCCTCGGCGACAGTCACCCGCCGCATAGACACCGGGGATGTTGGTCGAGTAGTGGCCGGGAGGAGTCTTGATGTTCTTGCGAGGGTCGAGCTCAATATCCTCACCAAGGACGCGATCCTCGGGGCCCAAGAATCCCATAGAGAGAAGGACAAGGTCGGCGGGGAAGAATTGCTCACTGCCCTCGACGGTCTTCATGTCCCAGCCACCAGTAGCGCTCTTAGTCCACTCGACCCGGACAGTGTTGATGCCCTTGACGTGGTTGTTGCCATCGTCAACAAACTCGGTCGACATGACACAGTACTCACGTGGGTCCTTGCCCATGTGCGTCTTGACCTCAGTGTGACCATAGTCAACACGGTAGATACGAGGCCACTGAGGCCAGGGATTGTCACGGGCACGTTCTGGGGGAGGCTGGGGCAACAGCTCGAAGTTGGTCACCGATTTGGCACCATGGCGGACAGAGGTACCGATACAATCGTTGCCGGTATCACCACCACCAATGACGACGACATGCTTGTCCTTGGCGGAGATGTATTCGCCATCCGAAAGACCAGAGTCGAGGAGGGACTTGGTGTTCTTATGCAAGAACTGCATGGCAAAGTGCACGCCATCCAGTTCGCGACCAGTGACCTTGAGATCACGCGCAACAGTGGCACCAGTAGCCACGATGACAGCGTCGTTTACGGCACGAAGCGACTGTAGAGAAACCTCGCAGTCAGGGCCAACAGCAGTGCTCGCAACGAACTTGATACCTTCAGCGGCCATGAGATCGATACGGCGCTGGACAACCTTCTTGTCAAGCTTCATATTGGGAATACCATACATGAGAAGACCACCCATTCTATCGGCACGCTCATAGACAGTGACGCTATGACCAGCGCGGTTGAGTTGATCTGCAGCAGCTAAGCCAGCAGGCCCAGAGCCGATGATAGCAATGGTCTTGCCAGAGCGGGTCTTAGGAGGACAGGGAACCATCCAGCCCATCTCAAATCCACGGTCAATGATCGCGCACTCGATGGATTTGATACCGACGGGATCTTCATTGATGCCTAAGACACATGAGCCTTCGCAAGGTGCAGGGCAGACACGGCCGGTGAACTCGGGAAAGTTGTTGGTCATGAGTAGACGGTTTAGAGCATCCTGCCACTGGTTCTGGAGATTAAGTTAGCACAGGTCAGTCATTTGACTAAGAGATGAAATTTGGGGCACGAGGGATACCTGGAAAACCAACTCGTTCCACTTAGGAATGATGTTAGAAATGGGGCAGCCAGTATCGGATTGACAGAATGGAACACCACAGTCCATGCAACGAGCAGACTGGTACTTGAGCTCATCCTCGCTGAGGCGGTGGGAGATCTCGCCCCAGTCGCGAGTACGGGTTGTCGCGTTGCGATACTTCTCACTGCGGCGGCTGTACTTCATGAAACCTCTTGTTTTGTCCAATATCAACGCAGAACGTTTCTTCTCGGTCTTCGAATCGCTGATACTGTCTTCAATGTCCAGCAAGTCAGTCTTCTTGGAATCATCAACCTTCGCCTTCTCGGCTTTGCCCGGGGTGCTGGGAAGCCGAGGAAGAGTGAATTCGGCTTTCTTAGCAGCCTCCGCTTTAGCAGCCTCCTCCTCCATGACGCGCTTGTAGTCGGTTGGCAGGACCTTGACGAAGTGGGGGAGAGCACGAGTGAAATCGAGCAGGATGCGAGCAGCCAACTCAGAGCCAGTGTAATGGTGGTGGTCTTCAACCAACCCACGAACAAAGGCAATCTCCGATGGGTCTTCGATGCTAGATATCTCAACCATCTCCAGATTGACCTTGGAATGGAAGTCCTGGTTCTTATCTAGAACATAGGCAATACCACCAGACATACCAGCAGCGAAGTTGCGGCCAGTGGGTCCGAGGTTGAGTACACGACCACCAGTCATGTACTCGCATCCGTGGTCACCAACACCCTCAACGACAACAGTGGCACCGGAGTTACGGACAGCGAAACGCTCAGCAGCCATACCACGGAAATAGCAAGTTCCGCGGGTAGCACCGTAAAGACAGGTGTTACCGACAATGACGTTTTCTTCGGCCTTGAAAGCGCCTCCGCGCGGGGGGTAGACAATGAGACGGCCACCAGACAGACCCTTGCCAACATAGTCGTTGGCATCACCCTCAAGCTCAAGAGTAACACCGGGGGCGAGGAAGGCACCAAAGGACTGACCGGCAGAGCCCTTGATGTTCGCGTGGATGGTATCCTGAGGAAGACCAGCCTCGCCATAGCGTCTGCTGATCTGATATGAGAGAGTAGCACCCAAAGCACGGTCGGTATTAACGATATCACACTCAATTCGGCAGGGTAGACCTTTCTCAAGAGCGAGCTCCGATTCAGCAATCAACTTGTTGTCCAACCGGGTGTGAAGGCGATGATCTTGCTTGCGAACATTGTACGTAGCGACTCCAGGGCGAAGCGAGTGAGCGGGGGTCAGGATAAGCGAAAGGTCAATCCGTTCCTGCTTGACATTACGAATATCGTCCCGGACCTTGAGCAGCTCAGCACGGCCGACCATCTCGTTGACCGAGCGAACGCCCAGCTTAGCCATGATAGCACGCATCTCATTAGCGACATAATAGAAGAAGTTGATAACATGCTCCGGTGTGCCCTTGAACTTCTGCCTCAGTTCGGGATCTTGAGTCGCGATACCAACAGGACAGGTATTCAGATGACATTTCTAGAGAAAATGTCTTTGTTAGTAGGTCGCTCATTTAAGAAAGCTAGAGATTGGAATATACTCACCCTCATCATAATGCATCCTAATGCGATCAAAGGAGTTGTGGCAAACCCATATTCTTCCGCTCCAAGCAGACAGGCGATGGCAAGGTCACGGCCGGTGCGAATTTGGCCATCAGTCTGAACCACAACACGACCACGAAGATCGTTCAAAACCAGAGTCTGATGAGTCTCTGCAAGACCCAATTCCCAAGGAAGACCGGCATACTTGATACCGGTCCAACGCGAGGCACCGGTACCACCATCATGACCAGAGATCAAGATGTGATCAGCCTTGGCCTTTGCCACACCAGAGGCGACGATACCAACGCCAACCTCAGATACGAGCTTAACGGAGACACGAGCTCGGGGGTTAGAGCACTTAAGATCATAGATCAGTTGCTTCAGATCTTCAATAGAGTAGATGTCGTGGTGCGGGGGTGGAGAGATAAGACCAACTCCCGGTGTGGAGAACCGAGTGCGAGCAATGGGGCCAACGACCTTATGGCCGGGTAATTCACCACCCTCACCGGGCTTGGCACCCTGGGCCATCTTGATCTGCAGCTCATCCGCGTCAGCTAGGTAGTTGGATGTAACACCGAAACGACCCGAAGCAATCTGCTTGATGGCAGATCGCATCGTGTCGCCATTCTCCATTCTCTTGCTACGCTCAGCATCTTCGCCACCCTCGCCAGTGTTGGACTTGCCGCCTAAGCGGTTCATGGCAATGGCGATTGTAGAGTGGGATTCCATGGAGATGGATCCATAGGACATGGCACCGGTCACGAAGCGGCGGACAATTTCGGTCCAAGGTTCGACCTGGTCAATGGGAATAGCTGTTCTCTGATCAAAATCAAAGTCCAGCATGCCACGCAAAGTACAGTTCTTAATCTGCTCATGTGCTGACTTGGCATAGGCCTCGTAGGACTTGTCATTCTTGGTGCGAACGGCATCCTGCACATTGGCAATACTGGTGGGGTCGTTGATATGGGCCTCCCCTCCATCACGCCAGTGGTACTCGCCGGATTCGGGCAAACCGGGAACTTCGACAATTGGACGCGAAGGGTAGCCGCGCTCGTGGAAGGCGAAAGCATCCTGGGCAATAAGATCAAATGTGATACCACGGATGCGACTGGCAGTACCGGAGAAGCAGCGATCAATAACACTGTCATCAATACCAAGGGCTTCGAAAATCTGGGCACCTTTGTAGGACTGGAGAGTAGAGATACCCATTTTACTCATGACCTTGAGGATACCACCATCACAGGATGACTTGTAGTTCTCAATCACCTTCTCATCGGGGATGTCCTTGCGGATCAACTTCTCCCGGTTCATCTTAAGAATACATTCCAGAGCCAGGTAAGGATTGATTGCATCGGCCCCATATCCAAGCAGAACACAGTGGTGGTGGACCTCGCGAGCCTCAGCAG